GAGTCTGCCACTTCAATCCTGCCAGTACTGTATCCCTAACGCGTTGAAAAGTTGCGGGCGCCGAGCAAAGACCGAAGGGCATCACCTTAAACTCGAAGAGGCCGTCCGGTGTTATAAACGCCGTCTTCTCTCGGTCTCTTTCGTCGACTTCGATTTGCCAATAGCCAGTCTTGAGGTCCATTGACGAAAGGTACTTGGCGTTATGGAGCCGATCAAGTGCGTCGTCTATTTGTGGGAGAGGATACACGTTCTTTCTTGTGATTTTGTTCAGGCGGCGATAATCGACGCAGAAACGTAGGGTCCCATCCTTTTTCTTCACTAACACCGAGGGGGATGCCCATCGACTTTTGGACGGCTGGATAATGTCATCCCGCAGCATTTCATCAACTTGTCTCCTCATGGCCTCACGTTCTCGCGTCGAAACCCTGTACGGACTCTGACGAAGTGGTCTGGCATTTTCTTCGGTTATGATGCGATGCTTCGTGATTGGGGTCTGCCGAATTTTTGATGACGACGAAAAGCAATCTTCGTATTGCAGGAGCAGGGCCTTGAGCTGTTCTTGCTTATGGTTCAGAAGTCTGGGATTGACATCGAAAGCTATTGGAGGGGCTTGGTTCTTCTGAGCAGGTTCCGCAGAATCGGCGCGGGCGAAAGCACTGGTGGCTTCGACAACTTCTTCGATGTATGCGACCGTTGTTCCTTTGTTCACGTGTTTGTACTCATTGCTGAAATTCGTGAGAAGAACCGTTGCTTTGCCTGCCGCAGCTCTGCAATTCCTCTTGCGACGCAAATATTTCGGGTGACCAACAGATGCTAACTGCCTTCAATGACGCCTTCCAAGTCAGGTGATTTAGGAGCGCCGACTGAAATAATGACGCTTGAGCGAGGCGGAATGGTGACTTGTTCTTCCAGCACATTCAAGACATGGTTTCCTGGCGGCGTGCGCGGCGGTAGTGCTTCTTCTGTGGATAAAGTTATCGACTTTGTTTTTAGGTTGATGACAGCACCATGGAGGCATAAGAAGTCCATGCCAAGGATGACATCTCTCGAGCAACGCTGTAGAACTACGAAGTCTGTAGGATAACTACGGCCGTTAATGGTGACTCTCGCCGTGCAGATTCCTGCAGGCGTTACGAGATGACCTCCGGCTGTGCGGATTTCAGGGCCTTCCCAAGCTGTCCTAACTTTCTTTAACTTCGCGGCGAACGACCCACTGATGACGGAGTAGTCGGCTCCAGTATCGACGAGAGCGGTCACACTGTGGCCGTCGATAAGAACGTCGAGGTCGCTAGTTTGCCGTCTCGCATTACAGTTGGGGCGTGGCGTCGGGTCACGGGTGCATCGGCTTGTTCCGCTGCTTCCATGTTGCGTCGTCAGGTCACCTTCGGTAAGTGAAGTTTTGCCGTCAGGGCTTTGCCTGGTTGGCGTTGTGTTCGGAAAGCTCCGTTGCGGCGGCGGCGGAGAAGGAGGATCTTCGGTAGTTCGTCCCACAGCAACCGCACCTCCATCGGTTGCTGCCCTTAGTTTCCCGGACACGGGCTAAGAGACCGGCCCCGCGTTGGGCCAGAGTACTGCCGGTGGTGCGGTGACGTGCGGCGGCTGGGCGACGGCGAACGCAAAGGGCTTCGTGGTGTCCACTGAGTTCCTGTCAGGTAGTCGGCGATGTCACGTGGTCGTTCTCCTGGCTGTGGACACGGTGCATTGACGGCGAAGCCACGCAGTCCCATCTGTCGGTACTGGCAACGGCGGTATGTGTGTCCGGCCTCGCCGCAGTGTTAGCAGAGCGGGCGGTGGTCAGGGGTGCGCCAGACGTCAGTCTTCCTCGGTGCACTGTGCTGGGCCGCTGGCGAACGGTATGACGTCGGTGGGGGTGGTGGCGGCGGTGGCATCTGTCGACGGAAGTGCGATGGGGCGGCGTTTTGGCGTGGACGGGGAGGTGCGTTGTGGCGCACTGCAGCAGCATACCTCATAGCTTCCGGCTTGGGCAGCGGTGCTTGGCGAATTCGAAGCGATTGCCGAACTTCTTCTCGCACAATGTCGGCGATCGAATCCACTTGAAGCTGCGCCGAAGGCAACAGCTTGCGCAGCTCTTCCCGCACGATCGCTCGGATCGTTTCACGCAGGGCTTCGGAGTTACTGGCTTGAGCAGCAGCGCATTCTGGAGTCAGGCGACGATTATACTGTCTGGTACGCATGTCTAGGGTCTTTTCGATAGTGGTCGCTTCGGCTACGAATTCTTGGACGGTGTTCGGTAGATTTCTCATCAGTCCCGCGAAGAGCTCCTGTTTGACGCCTCGCATGAGGAAACAAACTTTTTTCTCCTCAGGCATGTGACGCCTCGCATGAGGAAACAAACTTTTTTCTCCTCAGGCATGTCTGGGTCAGCGTGACGAAATAGTCGGGTCATTTCTTCTGTGAAAATGGCGACATTTTCATTTGTTAGCTGAGCCCGGGTCTCTAATAAAGCAGCGGCCCTCTCTTTGCTAGCGACGCTCACGAACGTTTGCAGGAATGCGCCGCAGAAAACATCCCACGTTCGGAGCGTGGACTCCCGATTTTCGAGCCAGGTCTTTGCAGTGTCTTCCAAATAGAAGAACACACGACGGAGCTTTTCGTCATGGTCCCAGTGGTTGAGGGCGGCCACACGGTCGTATGTTTCTAGCCAGGACTACGGGTCTTCGAACGATGACCCATGGAAAATTGGTGGTTCCCTGGGTTGATGCATGACCATCGTGGGCTGGGACGCTGCGGTTGTCATTGCCGCTGCAGTCGCGGTCATGGCCTTGGTCTTCCGCGCCTTGTCTTGTAAAAGCCCGTACTCCGGAGGTAGCCCTTGCTGTCGCCGGCTTGTTCCCTGCTCCTGGTTGGCGTCGGTGTCTTCTCCGCGACGTGGGCTGGGTTCACGGCTTGACGGAGGCTTCCGGTACACGAACGAAGCAGCACCTCCACCAGATGTCACGGGGTCGTGATGTGGCCAAAGACAGAAGACTTTATGTTGGGATTTAACTGTTTATTTGGGCGAACCTGTGCCCGGTAAACGGAAAGTTCGATTACAATAGCAGTCTTCCACAGATAGCAGTAAACGGAGCGTCGGCTGTCGATCAACTACTGACAAGCGGCGAAGCGCGTCCGCATTTATACTCTTGCCGTCGAATGTTCTAGCGTTATCGCTGGCGGTGGTGTAGGTTCCAGAATAATCTGTACAGTTCGCAGAGTAGGCGTGATCTTATCGAAATGATCTACTACAGTCCGGAAGCTTCTCGAAAACTGCAGGTGCGGTTTGCGCTGAGAATTGTGTAGTGTTTTGGGACCATAACAAAACTTGGGAAATGGAACGTGGCAATATACCCATTTTTCTTTATATGTCAAAAAAACTCTTTGAATTCAATTCGAAATTATTCTACCAAATTACCACTCGCCTCGAATTCATTTCGAACCTAAAATTCATTATTCCCACAACCCTAAATAAAAAGTACCAGTTCAGCCACACCAGAGCGACGAATTCAAGCACTGCTCGCACTTTATTTCGTATTGATGTCTGCATCGATTGAGGAGTCACTTATAAGAGCAAAAATTTTGCTTTTATAGAACCTGGCTTAAAATAAACACCCACTACAGTCACTGCTTGGGTGTCATGGGCCGACTGCAAAGCCATATTTTGTTGCGTTCTACAGCAAAACAGGAGGTCACGAATACTGACTCCTGGCCATAGCTGTCACATAAAAAAGGACACATAAAAGTAGAGAACCAATCTGTTACCAAGCTTCAGGCACCCATTAAAAATTCTAGGCGGCTTAATTGATCAAAGGCTGCGTAATACACGAAGTAATCGAATAGTCAGTCAAACACTAAAAGGTATATGTACCCCAATAATGTCAATGTCACAGGAAACCATGAAGGCACAGTCTCAACTCGTGATGTCCTTTGCACTAATGTGTTATATGGTCAGCCCCCTATCACTTTTACTTTTTTCCACACTTCTCACTACACAGCTACTCACACAGGCTGTTCAGGGATACTGTGAACTCCAGAAATTCGACCTGAGCAAGAGCCCCGCTCCCATTCTTGGTAGATTGGAAATATATGCCAATGACCGAACAAGTCCATACCTTTCAACGACTGCCATTTTTTTCTCCGCTACACGATCCTGCAGCAGAGGTTCCTAGAAACTCAAGTTCTGAGAGTGTTTAGACACAACTTCTTGGTACTTTTACAGTGTGGTGCGTCAGGGTTGCATTCTGTTCTGGAATGTTTGACGAGCGTATTTTTTTCTCTAGTGACCACTCGAAATTTCACACAAGTATTCAGTTAAAACAGCAAATGCATGTGTATTCAAGACAACATTTCATTAGAAGCACAGGTGTGCATTCTCTTTAGAGGTTTTTCTGCCGTAATCTTGAATTTTGGTCCACAAACTGGCATTCTTCCCCTTCCCCTCCCTCCCCTAGAAAAGTATATAACTGTCACCATGGTTGGAGTTAGGAAGGAGGGGCGGGGCGACTTGTTCGGAGTTTTCTGGTAGGCACACATTAGGGTACTATTTCATTTTGGGCACATGGTGATTTTTTTTTCTTGGTCGAAGAGACTATGTCATCAGATTACCTCATTCGTCAATTAACCACCTGGTGCAAGATGAGCCTATTATAGCAGAAATCACTCAAATGCTGAGGCCTGTCTTAGAGCAAAAGAGACTAATCAGACCAGAATCCAAGTATGATTTTAATGGTGCTGTACATCTTAAAATGAGTGTACTTGTGACTTGTCTCTAAAGTAATGCAACGCTTCTGTATATAGAAATGAACTTGATCCACGGCATCATATTTGATGACCAATTAGGACGCTAAGTGCTATCAGTACTATGAATCTTCATGTAGTTTTTCTGGGCACAGGCGCTCAATAAATAGTAAAACTTTTTAGTTTAAACATGCGGCAATGTTTGGTTCTTTATCGTCACTACAATGTGTCAACATACTAGACCTGAGGTAAATAGTTATTCTCACCAGCTCTGCGTCTGCGTTGAATGTGATGGTTCCCTCATCGAGCTGCAAGTAGAGCCGCCGATAAGAGAAGCCAGGCTCCTTGGGCATCCCATAGATGCTGGCATAGCCCCACTGGCTGATGCACAAACTGCACAGAATTCAGGCAACAATGACAAAAAAGACTTGGCATGCCACAGTGTTTTTAGCAGGCTGAGTATTTCATTTTATGCCAGGCAAGCTTGTGCCAGCCAGAGGGGAAAAAATAGAGCTCGCCAACAGTAGTGACATCACTGGTAACACTGTACCGACAGTACAATTTAGTTCTAATGAATAGCTTTACAATGAACACTTTTTTTGCGGGGGCATTAGTACTTGTTCTGAAACAGCACAGCACAGTACAATATAGGAACATGCCCCAAACACTTTACACACTAAATAAAGATGAGCCCTTAATGTTAGCCAATGTGTGTGTGCATGTGTGTCGGAAAATGGATGTGTGTGCATTTTACAAAGAAGTGAAAGCATAGTGGCACAGATAACATGCAGGAGCAAATTAAAAAAATATGTCTTGAAACAGGTAGACACTACTAATATACAGTAGAAAATTCAGAATGGTAAAAAAAGCGAAAGGTTTCCCTTATGTTGTGTGTCACCAACACGTCACTTTTCCGAGTATGCTTCAGGAAACAAATGCAAGTGTGAATAAGAGACACTGTGAAAGCCGTGTATGTTATACTGGGGTAGCAACCACTTTCACGCGCAACGCGTGTCATTTGTACCCAAAGCATGAAAGGAGTATGACATTTGTCTTACTGAATTATTTCCATGCTAGCATCCCTATACAATGAACTACATCCCCCATGCTTCAGACAGAATTCAATAATTATATACCAGAAGTAAGGCATGCTGCAAATCAAACCACGACACAAGTCTTATGTATAAGGTTGAACGGATTCTCCCGATACACAGAGGCCTCGCAACACTTTTTCTCGGGACTGAGCACCCAGTGGCAGAAGTGTGACATTTTTCAGCGAGTTCATACCAGCAAAATATTGTTGTAAAGGACATAATAATGACAGTTAAAACATTGCAATGGTTACTACCCCTCCCTCTGTAACACAATGGGGAGTTCTCAGTTTTTTTCACATGAAGATAGGGAAACACAAACCATTAATTCACAAGAGCACACACAACCGAATGCAATTAAAGTGTGCAACTTTTTGGGTGCCCGAACACAGTACAAAGTGCTATTTTTAAGACTACATAGCTATTCTCATACTGCAACTGTTCAAGTATGGCATTCAACAAAGACACTACAGAGTGACAAAGGAACATTGACAGGACCAAATGACTTGTGTGATCCCTACTTACACATTTTCTGAAGCTGTAGAGAGGGATGCGTACGTGTTCAAGCCTTGCTCAAGAGTGACACATTGTCATGAATTGTCAATAAGTGGCATCAGTGTATTATCATGAGGGTTTACAAAATAGCAAGGGGGGGGGAGTATCTTGAAACACAGCAGGAGAGAGAGCAAGACTTTTTTTCAAGCAAGGTTGTGGACTCCCTGCTGTACATTGAGGCAAAATATACCTAAGGCCTGCATGTGCATGCCAACATTGTCTAAGCAGTGTTGATATTTTCTAAGCATGTTCGAAATAGATTGCAGTGCCCGTATTTAAGGACAATAAGGAAAACACTGAATAAGTTTCAGTTGATAAAGTGTTTTTTACGAAGCCTAGGTTTGTTGATTGCACAGTATAGGGTTGGTTACACAGAACAAGGAATTCATTTTCACAATGCACAGCTGCGATCAATCCCCTCTATAAAAGCAGCAAGTGAATTGAAACATGCCACATGTACAGGCAGGTATCATTTCACAATTTATGGGGTTCAGTGCCCCAAAACCACACCGACTCTCTCACAGACGTTGGAGTAGGTGGCTTTACACTAATTATGACCACATAGGTTCTTCGAAGAAATGACAGATATTTTCAGCATTGCAGAAATTCCAACATGCACTTCTTGCATGTCAAAGAAGGAGTGAACAAGTGTGAAAGTTGAAAAAGAAACTGGCGCGAAATGTTTTAGTTTGACTAAAGTTGCTTGTCAACACGCCACCTGGCATCACCGATATTGCAATGAGATGATGAGAGAGCTAAATTTGCAGACATCAAGCAGCAGCAAGGGTAGGAGTAATAATAGTGCTCAGAATTAAAAAAATGGGAGTGCGGCACTGGAACAGATCAAGCAATATATAATGACACCACTATACATATGTAGTTATTACCATAATTAGTTCATAAAAATGATTATCCTGACAAATTAAATAAAGCACGCTGATGCTTTCCATGGTTGTTTATAGGCCCTCGAGCATGCACACTTTCACTGCACACAAAAAAAATGTGATGATGATGCTTTGGCACTAGCCACCATCCTTTCTAGGGTTTATTATACCCATACATTCCTTAATGCAAACAAAAATAAATAAATAAAAAGTACAAGCTGAATGTTTCCTGTTAATAAACATTTAATAACCACATGAATTTAAACACTTATTTTCTGATCTCATTCATATAATGGGCCCCTGCAACACTTTTCTAAAAAGCCATAGAATAGATTCGCTAAAGGAGCTTATTGTCTCACAAATTGACCACTGAAAAAATTTTATAGTCCATCCAGTACGAGTAAAGTTACAAAGATTTGTCGCATGCTCCAACTGCTTTCCCTTACGTCCCGACAAAAGCACTAGTGACTAGAAGCAAAGTACGGAGGAATGGCACTAGGAACAAGGTACGTCACACGCGCCTTGTGACTTTGAGCACTTTTTTTATCCTTTTTTTGCTTCTCCCCTTCAAGCGTGCGGACATGTCACGGCCTTCTACGACAGCCCCAGTAACTCCTGAGCATGTCATGCTCAAATCAACCAATAGCATGATACTTTGGGCCTATGATGTAGTAATTTGTGAGTACTATACAGCATCATTTGCCAAGAGAAAATAAAGCGATTTTTAGCTGCCCCCCCCCCCTGGTAATTTATCATAAATTCCAGACTGTGTGCTGAGCGATAATTATATTTGGCACGCACGCTCTCAGGAGTCTCAACTGCCAATTGGCAGTGTTTCCTAACCCTGCTCAAAAAGTGTTTTGGGGCGCCTTTGAAGTTCAGCCACAAAGGCTGGGAAAATAGCCTGTGACATCAAGCTTGACCGCAGAATGCCACTGCCTCCGAGCCACCACAGCATGTGTGTTCGCAAAGAAAGCTACAGAAAGCCACACAGTTTTTCCTAAAGAGAGAACACTCAAACTGTGTCATCACCTGTGCCAGAGAACTTCATCTTGTGCAAGGTGGGTCCACACGCATGCCGCTAAGCAGAGGTCTGTAGCGTTCAAGTGTGACAGCACGGCAAGGCTCAGCTCTGGTGGCCATCTAGCAAGATCTGGAAAACCTATAAGAACAGTGGGAGTAAGTTTTACAGAGCTCACTCCAAGGCCATGCTAAACCAGCCAAATACCGATTTGGAGAGCTAAACAACACAGAAAGTAAAATTTTAAGCTGATACTGTGCTCTGAAAGCAATGAAACAACGACGATCAAGACAGAGTACATTAATACTGAAATTAGCATCCTTAACTGCAAGGTAGGTTATGACAGACATAACAGTCGAGGCCTTCAGACTAACACTCATCACATAGGTGTTAATAAGCAGCCCCTGCAAGATGCAAATCTTAGAATTTCAGCCCTGTCATAACTAACCAAGGAGCTGGTGCACAAAGGTGGTTAACTGCACTTAATTATTTAAGCTGTTTCCTGCCCTTTCTTTCGAAGTATAAAACAGTACTTCAAAATGCACAATGATGAGAAAAGAACTCAAGATGTCTCATATCTCAACAACACGGAAGCCTTAAGAAGAAAAAGACATGGCTGCATGAACATGACTGCCTAGTCAGAAAACAATTCAAGTTTTCACAGTAAGAGGACTGAGCCAAAACAGTTCAATGTTATTCAAATCGTGGCACAAACTTTGTTTGAAGCCAGTAAGTGTGATGCGAGTTCTATGATGTTCAATTGATATGCTTCACAATTTCGCAACACATTCGCTGAAATCAGTAAAAACACTGGAGGATGATGTGGCGACAGAAAAAAAAAATGGTAGGTAGTTCACTGATTGACAAAACAAGCAAAAACCTAATATCACATGCCTCAACATCAACAAAGAACTGTATTGAATATTCAGTGACAGTATTTCAAGATCAATGTCAAGCAGAAACTGTAAGAAACTAAGCTTCTATATGCAACAATAGCATTGCATTCTACAAAAATTGTTAAAGTAATATTTATAACAGCTACAAGGTTCAGTAAATCACCTGAGGCAGGCGCTCTTACTGCCTTTTAAATGGAGATGGGACTGGTTTGTACACGTCAAAAGTAAGTAACCTTTCTGTGCTTGCTAAATTGGCCATCAAGTAGACTTTTGGGGTCGGCTTTGTAATCAGACCAGAGGAAATAGGAGGGTGCATTCATTACTTTAACCATGGCACCTCGCAAGCTCGAACAATACTGTGATCTCCATCGAAAGTTCGACAAACCAGGTGCCCCACTTTCCGAAGCAAGCCCAAACACATGATGAAATGCCCGGCGTGCATATCAGCAGACTTATGCTGGACACTTTGACCCTGTCAACATCGATAGCACCGCTACTTATCCACCTACGATGTAGTCGCTCACCTTGCGAAACCAGGTTCAAAACCGTTCTTACATTGACTTATGCGAGTTCATCCAAGCGTAATTCGCTTTTTCAACGCAAACTAACACTCCGAAACCTAGATTATTTCTAAACATGCGCGTTGTGGTAAGAAAAAAAAAGATGGACTTGCCTTCAGTGTGATCATCTTCGTTACCTTCGCCGTTTTCTTTCACTTTCTTGAGCACCTGTCCCATCGACAAAAGCTCACCTACACAAGTGAATGCAGGGCAAGCGTTAGTTATCTTCCCGCTTACTCAGTCGGCAACGACTGATGAAAAAGCACTTCTACACCGTCTAACCGCGCAGAGATGTCGGCTATCGGACATAACGCGGATGTCTCAGTTTCGGTCGTGCTACCCTCAGTGCAGCGCATGTTGTGCATGGAAACTAGCGTAGCGTACACCAACAGCTCACGAGAAAGTGTTTATCGCATGGAAGCCGCGCCGAGTGCAGTTAGAGCCGAGTTATCAGCGCGATCGCGAACACTTATGAAGGCGGTCATATGAGCGGGCAGTCAGAGTATAGTGGTCGGCACTCGACGTAGCTGCGCTTACCCGCGTTTCCCATTGATTCGAGGCGCGTACAGAGACTACGCTTACTTACCGGGAGACGAGCTTTGTTGAAATTGCTCTGCGCATTCGTGATGGAGGGTGAACCAATGGGTGGGAATACTAATCGGGCTTTCTTTCCATAGCAGTAACTAAATTTTGAAGCCGATCATTACCGAGGGGAGCTGAAGGACTCGCGAGGAGTCGCTCGCGTTGCGGCCAATTACGAAAGTAGTCCTCGCTGGTCAAACGTAAATTTAGTCCCACTGAAAGCGCTCATATATTAAAAAATTGATGTTTTTTTTAATGATTACCGATGAAAACTTGTTCAAAGTTAGCAATTCAACTAAATGGTGTCATTTTTGCAAAAGCACAGTTGCTGCTACAAGATTATTTTAATAAAATAAATAAAATATTAGACAATTTGGAAAACTTTATTACCACGTATAGACGTATTTTGTTCATTTTAAGTGTTAGGCAACCTAAAAAATACGTAGAGCACGTGTCACAACAAACATGGCGGCGCTCAGGCCAGGTAACGTCTTGTTTCATTTTCGCATTTTCGCGTGATTCATTCGTTTCTTCCGCTAGCTCGGCTGCACCACATCGCATTTAAACTCTTAAAACAGTTGCGGGATTTCCACCTGCTAATGCGCGCGCGTTGACGGCTTCCTGTTCCGAATCGACCAGCTGTTACGCGGGTCGGCGTACCACGCTGACGCGAAACCAGCTGTTGTCAGAGGAGTCGTAGCAAGCATCGTACAGCAACGCGCCCGAATGTTGTTCTACGTGCTTCGGGGCTTGTGCTGCGCGATCTCGCTGGGCTGATTCAGATGTTTTTTTTTTTTTACTCGTCACTGATTAGGTAATGATGACAAGGCGTGGAACGATCCTCCGGTGTTCGCCTACACCGAAGTCCAAGGCACACCCGCTGCCGCCGCGCCCAAGAGGAACCTCCTGAACAAGAGGGTTCCCTATCCTCAGGATGGAATAAAGCCCCCGAGTGCACCATCTGTGACAGGCTCGGCGCCGCCTCCTGCAGGTATGCAAAGAAAGGAGCTTGACACTGCTCGAACTGCTCCAAAGTTTTGATGCTTCACGCTGTTCCGAACTGCGATTTTTTTTCCGTTCCGATCATGCTTTGAAACGGCACTGAGAAGATGAAGACGAGGAATTTTACTAATAGGACTAACTGGCAAGCCCTGAAGGAACAAAAAAAAAAAAAACAATCTGTACACAATCATCCCAGTATGCTATCGGATCTGATTTCATTTATGCAACGGAGTGTCTAGCGTTACGTCTAGACGTAACGATAGAAGCCGTTAATGTTACGTCCAGACGTAAAAATAAGACATGTTAGAGTGACGTCCATCGTGATAACAATAAAAAACCGGCTGGTTAAACTTGCCGAAACCGATCGGCAGCAGTGGCGTAGTTAAAGAAGGAAAAAAAAAAAAAGGCAGCAGAGGCGTAGTTCGCTAACGCAGCTCATGCACGACGGTGTGGTCGTTGGTTCAAGCCCAACTAAATTTATATATGTATATATTTTTTTTTTTGCGCAAGTATTGTTCCAAACAGTGCAGCATTAATCTTCCAAGGGCGCCCCTTGTATGTATGTATGTGTGTGTATATATATATATATATATATATATATATATATATATATATATATATATATATATATATATATATATATTAAAATAGAGGTGTTGTACGTCGAAAAAGGTTCAGACGCAGCTTGGCAAAATGAGCTTTAACAGGCAGGTCTCTCTAATGGCGAACGGCGTGCGCGAGCTACTCTTGCAGCCACCGATCATCCTCGTCTTCTTAATTACCAGCAGAGCGTCCATTATTCAGATTCATTACAATTACTCCCCGCGAAATAAGGAGCCATCCTGGCGACCTATGGACAAGTAAACACGGGAGGGTCGTAGCAGGGCTTAAGTCTCGAGACGTGGACAATTTCCTGGCCACGGCGACGTTGGTCAGAAGATGGTTCCAGTGGCTCGATGAGGTAATTCACCGGTGACGTTTTTGTAGCACACGATATGGGCCGTGATACTTGGGGACCAACTTGGTAGAAAGGCCAGGTGTAGCAGAAGGGACATACAGCCAGATCAGTGAACCTGGATCGTAGGAAGTAGTGTTATTTGATGCGTCATGGTGGTGCTTTTGGCGTCCTTGGTCTTGAGTTGTGAATGATCTTGCCAGTTGGCGGCATTCTTCAGCGTATGTAGCGGCTTGAGACAAAGTCGTGGACTCTGAGGAGTCAGGTTTGTACGAAAGGATGGTGTCTATAGTGCAAGAAGGTTCGCGTCCATGAAGGAGGAAAAAAGGAGAGAACCCAGTAGTGCTTTGAATGGCGGTATTATAAGCGAATGTGATAAACGGGAGCACTCGATCCCAATTGGAGTGGTCTGACGAGATATACATAGACAGCATGTCACCAAGGGTGCGGTGAAGCGCTCTGTCATTCCATTGGTCTGGGGATGATAGGCGCTTGTAGTGCGGTGAACGACGTGGCACTCACGCAGCAATGCTGTGATGACGTCTGACAAGAATACGCGGCCACGATCACTCAGTAACTCCCGAGGTGCTCCATGCCGTAGTACGATGTTGTGAAGAACGAAAGTCGCAACGTCTTTTGCTGTAGACGAGGGAAGGGATGAAGTTTCGGCATATCGCGTGAGATGGTCGACGGCAACTATGATCCAGCGGTTACCGTCAGTGGTGTTGGGAAGGGGACCATAGATATCGATGCCGACGCGGTCGAATGGTCGGGATGGGCATGGTAAGGGTAGCAAGGTACCGCTGGCGTGACAAGGGCGAGTTTTTCGTCTCTGGCACGTCGAGCAGGCCCGAACGTATTGTCGTATAAAACGGTACATGCCACGCCAGTAATATCGGAGACGTATGCGAGAATAAGTCTTCAGGAAATCTTCGTGGCCACATTGGGGGTCGTCATAAAACGTGGAACAAATTTCGGATCGCAGATGACGTGGAATCACGAGTAGCCACTGACGTCCACCGGGTGCGTAGTTGCGTCGGTACAGCACGTCGTCGCGAGTGGCGAAGTGCTCGACTTGTCGACACAATGTACGAGAAGGGGGGGAAGCCGTCCGCCCAGCCAGGATGTCTAGAATCGAAGCAACCCAAGGGTCCTTGCGTTGCTCAGATGGCATCTCGGCAATGGTGACGGCAGTGGCATCACAGGTTATACTTTCGCAGCAGTCCGGGTCAGGGGGTAGAGGCGAACGGGATAGGGCGTCTGCGTCCGAATGTTTCCGGCCGGAGCGATAGACCACGCGAATATTATATTCTTGGAGGCGTAATGCCCATCGGGCGAGGCGACCGCTTGGATCCTTCAGTGACAACAACCAGCAGAGGGCGTGGTGGTCAGTCACGACGTCAAAAGGCGCACGTAAGGTCGAAATTTCTCTATCGCCCAAATAATGGCGAGGCATTCCTTTTCAGTGACTGAATAGTTGGTTTCAGCTTTGCTAAGAGTTCGGCTTGCGTAGGCAACCACGTACTCTTGGAAGCCGTCTTTCTTCTGTGCAAGAATAGTGCCTAGCCCGACACCACTAGCGTCGGTGTGGATCTCTGTGGGTGCCAATGGGTCGTAGTGTCGCAGAATAGGCGGCGACGTGAGGAGGCGGAGCAGTTCATTGAAATAATTGTCACAGGTGGCAGACCAGGCTGAAAGGTCTCTAGAGCCGGCGAGGAGCTTGGTCAAAGGAGCGATGATCGTCGCGAAATTGCGGACGAAGCGCCGGAAGTAAGAGCAAAGGCCTATGAAGCTTCGGAGCTCTTTCATGGTGGTCGGTTTGGGAAACGCTGAAACGGCTGTAAGTTTGGCAGGGTCAGGAAGAATGCCGTCTTTTGAAACCACGTGGCCAAGGATCGTAAGCTTTCGAGCGGCGAAATGGCACTTCTTCAGATTCAGTTGCAGCCCTGCGGCAGAAATACACGCGAGGACTTTCTCGAGGCGGGTTAAATGGGTTGCGAAATCAGTTGAAAAGACGACAATGTCATCTAAATAACAAAGGCAAACGTTCCATTTGAGGCCTCGAAGGATAGAGTCCATGATCCGCTCGAAAGTAGCTGGCGCGTTGCAGAGGCCGAAGGGCATGACTGTGAATTCGTAAAGCCCGTCGGGCGTGATGAAAGCAGTTTTTTCGCGATCGGTTTCTGCCATGGGTACCTGCCAGTATCCAGAGCGCAGATCTAAAGAAGAGAAAAATTCGGCTCCCTGTAGGCAGTCCAAGTCATCGTCAATGCGTGGCAGCGGATAGACATCTTTGCGCGTGATTCGGTTGAGACGCCGGTAGTCCACGCAAAACCTGATGGATCCGTCCTTCTTCTTCACCAACACAACTGGAGAGGCCCAGGGACTGCTTGACGGTTCGATTATGCCACGTGTCAGCATGTCGTCAACCTGTTCATTGATGGCACGGCGTTCGGTAGTTGACACACGATATGGACGCTGCCGTATTGGCGTCTCTTGACCGGTATCTATACGATGAACAACAGATGACGCTCGACCTAAGGAAGGCTGATTGTGGTCAAACGAGGCCCGAAAACGCTGTAGGAGCTTGATCAGCTGTTCCTGCTGCCCAGGGGTGAGGTTACAATCAATGGACTTGCGGAATACATCCATAGGTTCATTAGCGTCATTTGCGGGTGTAATGGCACAAGTCGGTAAAAATGGCTTGTCTGGATAGATTGGGTCTTCGAAAATACAATTTAAGGTCTCGAGGCTTCCCAGACACTCGCCGCGTAGCAGGATGTACGGACATGCAGAAACGTTGCACGCATAAAGTACCGCCGAACCATTGGAAAAGTTAATGACGGCAAACGGGAGGACGATGGTTCGGTGTTGCACACTAGCTATAGTTGGCTGGAACAGGAGCGTCGAGTTAGTGGCAGCAGGGGAAAACACAGGCACTAGGACGGCGGACAACGGCGCGATGCGGACGTCAGCTGCGGCAAACACTTTCGAGGGACTGTGGTGGTCGATATCAAGGCACGGATTCGTCAACGTGAGTTCAGCACGAGCGCAGTCGACGAGGGCCTGATGGGTAGAAAGGAAATCCCATCCTAGTATAACGTCGTAAGATGAACGTGGGAGAACAACAAAGTTGACGGCGTACCAAACATCTTGAATAAGAACGCGTGCTGTGCACTGAGCCGTCGGCGCGATGAAATTGGAGGTGGCTGTAGGCAGAGCAAGATTTGTAAGCAGCGTTGTAACTTTTCTCAAATCGCGACACAGTTTTTCACTAATCACAGAAACGACGGCGCCTGGGTCGACAATTGCACGTACAGCAACACCTTCTACATCAATTTCATTCGGCGGACAAAAAGGAGGTCTTGGAGAGTTCGACGACGACGCAGTTCTTGCCTCCGGAACTGCGGCTGTCAGTTTTCCTCTCAAGCGGGGCTCGTGCGCCGAAGCATTGGGGAGACAGATCGGTGACGGGGTGGTAATGACCGGCGAGAATCGACAGGGCTTCGTGGGGACATTGAGTCGGTGATAGGAGAAGATGGTCGCCGGGGATTCTGGGCAGCCTGGTAATAATCGTCTAGAGGCTGGAAGTTGCGACGGCGACAGTAGCATGCTATATGTCCCACGAAACCACATGCAAAACAGATGGGCCGATTATCCAAGGTGCGCCATAGGTTAACGACAGAAGGTGCAGGGGGCGAAACGGGATGGGGTGCCGTGTATGTAGGCAGCGTCGTAGGGTAGGAGGACCCGGTGCCCCTGTATGCGCCAGAGACAGGTGGGACTGGGGGTATAGCAACGACGGCAGCGTAGGTCAGCGGCGTAGGGACAGATGGCGATGGAGGCAGTGCCTGCGTGACCTGTGTCTCAATGACCTGGCGTAGACGTGGGTCTAACGAGGTCACTGGCGTGGATTCTTCGGCCACAAGAGAAAGCTGACGCGCAACTTCTTCAAGAATGAACTGTTTGATGTGGGGCAGTAAGACGGTGTGATCAGCAGCGATGTCGTGCACAAGGGCGGAAACTTCAGCCGT